AAAAAAAAAAAAAAAAACAAAAAAACACACACACACACACCTAGTTAGGAGAGAGTAAATGTATTTTTCTAATCAATTGGCCTGCAGCTATGCCTTCGGCAAAAAGCATTGGCCCTAGATGCTATTATCAGCTGTCAAGATAGAAAACAATCCCATCATTCACTTAGAGGGAGAAGTAAACAGTTAATCAGACTCAAAGACTCATACCAATTGTTGACCAACACATGCAACAATGTTTAAAGATCTCTGATTGGTTCCAGTTCATAAAAACGTATTTATCACAGTTAATATTTCAGAAAACCAAAGGACTCCCTTATTGTAAAGCACGAAGGTTAAAAATCAGGACTGTGATTAAATTCTGTAACTATCTATCTGATAAGATGGACAAGTCACCTCTGTGTGCTTCAGTCTCTGCATCTTCATAGTGAGGGAGGAGAAGCACTTCCTAATACTATGCAGGTGTCTATTAGGAACCAATCAGAGATCTTTAGGTTTGAACATTGAAGAAGATGAACCGAAAAGGAGTGATTTCTTAAGAAAATTATACAAACAAGGGATAGTATTTCTATGAATTTGAAGATGAGTTACAACAGCTTTAAAACAAAAATAGCATCATTTAAATAAATCTATCAGATTCATCCTAGAGAGGGTTAAACCAGGCTACTCCTTGGAGGCAAAGATTCTGGGGCTTTGTCTGACATACTTTGGACATGTTCCAAGGAGAGACAGGTCTTTGGAGAGAGGCATCATGCTGGGTAGAGTAGAGGGACAGCGCAGGAGGGGAAGACCCTCTATGAGGTGGATTGATTCAGTGACTGGGGTAATCGGGATGGCTGTGTCAGAGGCAATGCAATTGGCACAGGATAGAGCAGGGTTTACATAGGGTCGCTATGAGCTGCAAACGACTCGACGGCACATAACAACAACAACATCAGGAACATAGAAGAAGCAAAAAGTGTCATAAAAGCAATGGGTGACCCTGGAAGACATTATGCTGAGTGAAGTATCTCAGTCAAAAAGGACAAATACTGCATGGTGCCACTGCTGTAAAGCAGGACTGACATCGGGGTTGAGGGGGGAGACTGAGAAAGATGGGTTCAATAATGTATACTACATTGAAACAAATGAAGGAGGAAACTGTTTAAAAGGGATATGTGATTAGGTATTTTTGTCATGGCAGGAGTCCATAGCGAAGGCTGCATAGTGGAGTGGACTTGGTGGGAGGGATTGTAAAACAATGAAGAATTTTTCTTTTAATTTTCCAAGAGGGTAGTGTACTGGGGGGTGGGGAGGGTTGGGAGGGGAGAAAAGTGCAACAATGAATGAATGGAAATGAAAAAAAAAAAAAGCAAAGATGGGATATTTCAGTGCAAGAATATTTAGACAGTGGAATGATTCTACTTTAAAACAGAACTTTGTATAATTTCTGCATATTTAAGATGAATTGGTAGTAGTTAAGGTATTGAAAAGAATAATTTTAAAAAATATCTCCCCCAAATTATGTTGCATTCACAGTTTTTAAAACCACACACAAAAAATAATTGATGCTTTATTATTTGTATTTGTCCTTGCACAGTCAGACCTGACCTGTTGAGGGTTTGTTTTTGTTTGTAATGCAGATTCCCCCCACCCCCCACACCAGTTCACTTTCTGGGTCCAGTTTCACCACTGCTCCTTGCGTTTACAAGTGTTGAGCGCTTGCTTTCGGCACGTCCTCCTGATTGGCTGAGGCAATGTCAGTGACATCAACCAACTTACTTTTGATTGGACAGCTCGTTGCTGGGACTGTAGCGTTTGCAGGAAGTCACTTAACTGTTTGCGAGCTGGAAACCCGAAGCCTAAGTTCCTTTTTATGATGGGAACGAGCGCGACTACCTAGGAGATGCACGTCTCCAAGCCCTGCAAGGCAGAAGGTGACCCGAGAGTCCTGGACGGCATCCCAGAGAGAGATGCAGCGTCGGAGAGGAGCGGCTTCTCCCTTCCGGTCTTGTGGCTGTTACCCTTTTAAAAGTCGGCGTTCTGGGCTGGAGGGGTAGCACGAGGCACCGGAACGGAACAGTCGGATTGGCCGCACGCCTCAATTCTAGACGCACCTCTCCACCGAAAGGCCGTTCTGACTGGCAGGGGGAGAAAGTAAACAGACTTGAATCACCCTCCCCACTGGCCAATTGGAGGGGGTTTGGATTGTGACGTGATGGGATTCTGCGAAATTGTTACTGAGCAAGAGAATGCCGGAACGGTGCGGACCGGCAGGCACGGGGGAGTAGAAGCCGTCCAGGGACTGGGGGAAAAGTGTCTCTTAAAGGTGCTGCTCGCTCCGGCCCTGCCCACCCGCGTCCGGGTGGTCCAGTGAAGGTTCTGGGGCGTGCGCGCCACGAAGCCGCGGCTGAGGGCGTGGACCCTCTTGCAGTTTCCTCTCCCAGCGCCTCGGGGGCGTTTGCAGTCGAATAAACTTGCGCCCGCCACGTGTGGCGTCTTTTCAAGGGAGCCGGTGCCGAGAGGCCAGCCCGGCCGTCGGGGGATCGCGGGCCGGCGCAGGGCAGGGCCGGCGGCGGCGGCGGGAGCCGGCAGCCGGCAGCGCGGCAGAGCCGGGGGCCGTGGCTGCTGCGTGCGGAGGCGCTGCCGGTTACGTAAAGATGAGGGGCTGAGGTCGCCTCGGCGCTCCTGCCAGTCGGAAGCGCCCCGCGCCCCCGCCCCCTTGGCCACCGCGCAGTGCTCGTCGTCGGCGGCGAGGGCAGGGCGAGCCGCACCTCCGCAGCCTCAGCGAAGTTTGGCCGCGCCGCCGCCGGGGCCGCCGCCGCCCGCACCATGTCCGCGGCCGCCTACATGGACTTCGTGGCTGCTCAGTGTCTGGTGTCTATTTCCAACCGAGCTGCGGTGCCGGAGCACGGGGGCGCTCCGGACGCCGAGCGGCTGCGCTTGCCGGAGCGCGAGGTGACCAAGGAGCACAGTGACCCGGGCGACACATGGAAGGATTACTGCACGCTGGTCACCATCGCCAAGAGCTTGTTGGACCTGAACAAGTACCGACCCATCCAGACCCCCTCGGTGTGCAGCGACAGTCTGGAGAGCCCCGATGAGGATATAGGATCCGACAGCGACGTGACCACCGAATCTGGGTCGAGTCCTTCCCACAGCCCGGAGGAGAGACAGGATCCTGGCCGCGCGCCCAGCCCGCTCTCCCTCCTCCACCCTGGAATGGCTGTGAAGGGGAAGCACGCCTCCGAAAAGAGGCACAAGTGCCCCTACAGTGGCTGTGGGAAAGTCTATGGAAAATCCTCCCATCTCAAAGCCCATTACAGAGTGCATACAGGTTAGCGGCGTCCCCCCTTCCCACCAGGTCTGGGGTTAACCTTTGGCCGGGCAGCCTCCCTGGGCGCTAAGGACACGAGGCCAAGGAGGGTGCAGACAGTTTGGGCTAGACGCTCGTTGAGTAACTGAGCGGGTCGCTCAATCCTTACTCAGACCCAGCCTTTAAGACGCACCAGACAGAGAGCATGGCACCGGCGGGCGCAGAGAGAGCGCGCGCCAGCCCCCGCGCGCCGCACTCCGGGAGTGGTGCCGCCCTCCCTGCCCCGCCCCCAGCACTTCCGTACCCCGCGACTGGGAGGCAACCCCACCTGGGAAGACGTGGCCGCGGGGGCGTCCAGCGGCGACGGGTTTGCTTCATTCCCTACTGGGATGGCGACCAAGTAGCCGGAACCTGGGGGGGGGGGGCAGCGGCACACTTTACATGGAGCCTTTTGGGGATCACTGTTCTTTAGCTCTCTGCTTGCTACTTTACAAGGCTTGCCAAAGTGGTTTTAAATTTGGCCAGGAGTCCCCAGAGAGGTTTAAAATAAGCCTGCTTCGGGTAGCAGGGGAGATTGGTCGGGTAATGCCTGGTGGGTTAACTTCACACTAGTTCGATTTCCCAGATGGGTCGCACCCTCGCCTCTCAGTAGATTAGTTGGCGAGGAGGTGTGGTCCTTGCTGAGGTCAAGGCTCTGGTAAGAAAGTGGTGACAGGGACGTTCTGGACGCTGCACGGAGCTGACGCGCCCAAGGAGAGCGCAAGATGGGGCTGGACGAATGAGCGTCGCCAGGAGGTTATCTGCAGTGTGAGATGTACCCGGTCAGGTCCCTGGGCAGCCAATTCTCGTGGTCCTGTTTAATATACACAGAAATAGTGGAGAAGCGGTCATGTTTGGGCATCCAGGGTCACCATCTTCCGAAAGGTTCTTAAAGCTGCTCTTCTGATAAGATTAGCAGGGGGTCTGCCCCCTCCCCCAACCTGTTTTCCCTTAAGCACACTGTTGAAGAGATTGTTGTTGGAGTTGCTAGGAAAAGGCTGGATGGTTCTTGGTGTAGTATTTTGAGACTTTTAAGAAGAGCCCCTGGCTTTCAAATAATTGGCTGGATTTCGTTTTGCTTTTTTAAACTGAAGGCCAGAGCGTTGCCTCTCTTCAACCTCATTTCCTTGGGAAGGCAGCACTTGGGGGGGTGGCTGCTGGCACAGAGATGCATTTCCTCTGTTGTTAATGGGAAATCAGCTTCTGTTTGGGGTTGTCATCCAGGTTGCCATTTAAGCAGCACATTTTGAAGTTTGCAGGGATGTCGAAAGACTTGGGCCTGAATTGGCTGCTCTGACCTTTCACGTGGCTCTGAGGATGAAATGGGGGTGTACTAACCCAAGGGTGTTACTCACCAACAGCTGTTGGGCGGGCCTGGCAGTATCAGCTCTGTTCCCAGAGTTCAGTTGTTCACAGGGACACCACTGCCACCTTGAGCAAAGGCACGTTCTCCTTCAGGGCGCTGCCCAGCCCAGGCCATGCATCTGGGGGTGAGGAGTCTGGTGGGCTCAGAGAAGGGAGTCCAGCTTTGGGGGCCACTCAGCTGACTGATTTGCACTGGTGGTTTGAGAAATGGCTGCTTGGGTGTGCATGCATGCGTGCTGCTTTTCAATTCTCCATAAGGCACCATCAGCTCAGCTGTTTCAGGAGAACCTTTTACACAGTCAAGATAGAAGCTGAAGTGAAATGTTAATCTCATTTTAAATGCTACAGTTTCAAAAGTGTGAGAGAGATGGAGTTTGCAGGTGTCTCATTTATGTTTGGGGGCTCTGTAGTTCCATGCCAGTGGTGGTATAAAACCCTTTGGCATCTAAATACTGTCAGGTCATTTAAAAAACTAAACCCAGCCCGTTGTCTTTGAGTAAATAGATTCAGCCTCACCTATCAGATTCATCTATTTGGCTTCCAGTGGGAACCAACGCATAGCAGGCCCTCCAGCTGGTTTTCAGAGGCTGTAAATTACACAGGAGAAGACTGCCCATCTTTCTCAAGGTTTAGTGCCCTCGGCTTGGCAGCACACATAGTTACCACTAGGCCACCAGAGCCCCCTCGCCTTCTGTGCTATTGTTGTGTGTCTTTGAGTCAGAACCAACTCGTAGCTGGTCCTCCACTGGGTTTTCAGATGCTGTAAATCACACGGGAGGAGACTGCATGTCTTCCCCAGAGCAGCTGGTGAATTTGAGCTGTCTGCCTTTGGACTAACAGCACAACTCCTTCCCCTAGGCCACCAGAGCTCCCTCACCTTCTGTATGTTTCAAGGTGTTTCGAAGACAGTCTAAGAGCCTTTTGGGAGATCTCATGCATTTTGAAGGGCTAGGGCTGGGAGCGTCCTGATTTTCATTGCTGGTGTTAAATCCAAAAGGTGGGCAATGAGAGCAGGAGGAGGGTCTGCACTGTCACAATGCTGAGAGCTGAAATCTCAGCCCCGCCCCCTGGCTCAGTGCTGCCCTGCAGGTGGCTCACTGCTGTTTGCTTGCTTTCTTGTGGATGGAGGGAGTCGCATGCCTCTATCACTTACGTAAAACTGGTGGCTGTAGGAGTCGACTTCTTTAAACAAAATTTCATTTAATTCGGTGCAGCTACTTCTGTGGAGTCCTGAGGGAAAAGCTACTCTTGAGGCAAACCGAGCTGCGTTCTGATTTGTCCTCACTGTTTCTCCCAGCTGTGAGACCTTCAGCAAGTGACTTTAATTCAGAGTTTACAAACTAGAGGCTTGCTACTGCATTTGCTTTGCAAATATGTTTGGCTTGGCCCACACAGGGTTTATAAAAATTTAATTAGTAACCTGAAAGGGGAAAAAAACCTACCATGCAACAAAGCCCTTGTTGCCTTCCCCGTCGACCCCTGTAGGACAGAGGAGGACTGCCACATAGCATTTCCAAAGCTATTCCCTGTACAGGAGAGCTTGGTGGTGCTGTGCTTAACGCTTGTGGCTGTTAACCACAAGACCGGAGGTTTGAATCTACCAGCTGCTCCTCAAGAAAAAGGGGATGTTAACAGTTTCCATAAAGATTTATTAGCCTGGGAAACCCTTTGGGCAGCTCCCTGTCTTGGAAGATTGCTCAGAGTTAGAATCACTAGATGAGCTTGAATTGGGTTGATTTGGAATTTTTATGGAAGCCGATTGCAACATCTTTTCTGTCTTAGAAGATCTAAGCTACTGACTTTTTGCACTAAAGGATTTTAGCACAAATCTGGATTTCTGGTTTCTCTGGAACATTTGAAAGATCTGGCAATTCTGGGCTAGAATTCCTGCCTAGCAACAATTGGCTTGGCTGAGCATTCCATATTTGGATCATAGTCTCACGCCGCCACCACCTCCCTTTATAATGTTCAACATGACTTCTGTTGCAGCCTCTGTGTGACTATTGGTTTCTCAACCCACAAAACAGAGCTACCCAGCTGACCCTGGTAGGGCGCTCTGGTGGCCTCGTAGGTAAGGAGGCACACTGCCAGTCGAAAGGCTGGAAATCCAGATCCATCCGCTGCGCTGCAGGAGAAAGGTGGACAGTGTCCTCCCACAGCCTCTGCAGAACCGCTGGAGGGTCAGTTCCAAACTCAACAGCAGTGAGTGTGAGTTGAAAATTGATATGGGAGCTGTGGTCGTGGTGTCCATGAGGAGTTGTGCTGCTAATCCAAAGTGACACCTCTCTAGTGGTTCAAATTCACAAGCTGCACTGAGGGAGAAAGATGGGAAGTCTCCTCCTGTGTGATTTACAGCCTCTCAACACCTTCCTGAGGGTCAGCTGTCTCCAGCTTGAAGGCAGTGAGATGCTAGTTGTTGAAGTGAACTCAGTAAGTTGATTTGTAAAGATAACACGTGTAAATCTCCTCATAGGATTCCACATGCAAAGGACCCTCAAGAAATGGCAAAACTTGTAGTTAATGTCTCCTCACAATCAAGAAACAATGTCAACTTGGGTTAAAGTGATATGTTTACATTTTCAAACAGTATACTAATTTTCTGTTTCTTCAGCCTCCAAACATCTTTTCAGGTGAACTGTCTTTAAATATTAAGCCAGTTGTTAATGGGCTAAGTTGTTAATCTGGGGGGAGAAAAATACCAAAACAGAACCATCACGCCCAAAAGAGTAACTCTTCCCTGCCCCAAGGCTTTGTGGGCATTCTGTAGGCCCGTAAGAGTTGCCACCAACTAGATGGCATTATGTGAGTAAAGCATAGTCAGTCACTGGATGCTGCAAGTGGTCACGAATTTGACTATTTATACTCACCTAGAGGCCCCTTGGGAGAAAGGTCTAGCAATTCTGCTTCTGGAAGCCTTGAAAACCCAATAGAACACACTTCTACCCTGGCACAGACGAGGTTGCTTTGAAGTGGAATTGACGCACCACAGATGCTGGTTTATAGCATATTTTTGTACTTTTTCTGATTAATTCTTAGACCCACTGGTTTAAAGCTAGAGTACTTCACCTATAAACATTTATTTGAAAATGTAGCAAATGTTGAGATTATTCTGTGGTTCTTGACTTTGCAGACACTTTGCACATACATATATCATGTGTGTGTCCATTATGGAAGGGGACACACCCCTACCCTAATTCCAGATCAGAAGTCATCACATACAGCAGTCCGGGTTGCTATCTGGATGACAGAAACCGTAGGTCTTCCTGCTATGCCAGTGTGCCATTTTGCTCTTTTCGGATAGGCCTAAGGCATTTTTCCTTGTGGTGACAGTGGCTGGAGCTGGGTGATGTGATACTGGATTCTGAAAATTGGAAGCAATCCTAACTATTACACACCTTAGTTGCACAGAAAAATTTTAAAACATTGACAGTTTTTATAATAGGATAGAAGGGTTTTCATGTAAACCAGAAAGAGGCAGGAGCTGCCCCAGTTGCCCAGAGTGTCTGCTTCCTTTTCTCCTCATCCTGTTCAGACATCCCTGGACTACTTAGAATACCTGACGGGAGGGACTGGTTGGCCTCATGGTGGAAGTTGTCCTCCAGTGAGGGACGAGATCT